AAAATCAAGTGCTTTCCAGAGTTTCCCATGGCCTCCAGCAGATCAGACAACTTCACAGAAAGAAACTTAGTACAGCTGAATGATGCAAAGTGACATCTTTGAGACTTGCACTGAATGGGAATGTTGCTTCAGCTTACTTTAACACTCAAATCCTGGAGAAATTGTTTCTGTCTGGAACAGAGAGTGGCATCCATGAAGTATTATCACCGTAAACAGCTTTGCTTCCATTAGGTATGCATATATCTCTAGTTTGTGGGTAAAGCTGTGTTGGAAGCATTATGTATAGCAAAGCAATGGATGACATCATTAAATCCAAAGGACTTTGACAAGCTGAACAAGGGACCAATTGCAAGACGACCAGATTTTGAAAGGGATCCATGTATGACATCATCCATGCATGACACCATACTGATCTGGTTTTTGGGACCTTCTCACCTCTTTCACATGAATAATCTCCCTCACATTCTGTGCCTTAGCAATGTGTTTAGGAAGACACAGCATGATTATGCATTCACCCCCACAAAGAGAGCAAGCACAACCAAGGTTTTCTTCATGGTGATGAGCCTCTTGAAAACTCAGAGTCCATTTCCCTTTTGCTGTGCACACAGAGCTTATGCCTTTGGGGTGGCTACTCTCTGACCAACTAAAGAGATCTCCTCAGGCCTTGATTGCTACCTTGGAAATATTGTCGAGCTTTGCCTCTGTTTTAAAAAAAATAAGTTTTTAACTTTAACTTTTTATATTGAGTATGCTTTCTTCAATTCTATAGTCACACTTCCTGGACATAGTAGCGTGTATCTCAGAAAAGCATAGGTCATTCTCAGGGATGCCTTTGTTCTGTGGAAACCAACTGAGATAAAGCTGTCTCTCTCCAGGGAGGCCCCAGCTCCTATTTGCTGGTTCTGTTTATAGCTCACTCATTTATATAAGTGTTTGTTGAACGTGTATCATGTGACATGAACTAAACACACCAAGGAAAAAATGTAGACAAGCACAGAGCTCCATCAACTGATCAACTGCCATCTTCCTAGTTCACAGGGCTCACTTCCCAGTTCCATCTTGCCTGGGCTCTTTAGCAAATCAAAAACAGTCTCCCCTACCCCTCCCTAGTCTCCACCTCTCCTCCTCCCTCGTCCCCCTTCCTGAATCTTTTCTGCTCTCCCCTCACACCTTTCCTTCCCTCATTCCTTTTCACATTCTTGGTTTTCAAGAGTCTTTGTATGTAGCTACTCTTGACCTCAACTTGTCCCATAGCCTCAAACTAAAGCCATCCTACCTCTGCTGCTTCTGAAGGGCTGGATTACAGGTATGTACTACCATGCTCAGCCTCAATGTTTTTATCTGGTGAAACTTATATTAAGTCAACTCCTCAGAAAAACTGGCAAAGGATTTTTTTTCTCATTCCGAGAGTGCTTCACCCTAAAGCTTCACTGCCATCCATCAAAACCCTGGCAAGCAAATAATTAGTTGATAGTTCCACTGGCATTCTAGTGCTTAGATTACACACACACACACACACACACACACACACACACACACACACTCCTTCCAAGCTTCTAAATGGAAGCCCATAAAGTCATGGGCACGAGATGAAGCCGCAGGCAGCCTCATTTGGAGTTAACAGAAAGCTGTACTCTACATGACTGTAGGAACTCAGAGGAAGCACACATGAGTTCAAAACATGAAATAAAATGTAGGTAAAGGGAGGTGCCTGCTTTTACTGAATGGAGACAATCCCAAGGTCATAGATAAACCACTCTCTGGAGGGATACATGGGGACTTACAGCATCCTATCTGAGATCTCAGCAAGAGCTCCACTTCCTTTTGCTGTCTCTTCATGGCCCAGCAATAAGCAGTTTAATGCAGAATTGGAGGCAGCTTTCAAATCCTCTGGGTTCCAACCTATTCCTTCATAGTCTGGGGACACGGATGGGACTGGAGGGAACCAGGCTTCCACTGCCCTCCCATCCCTTTACCCAAACTACTACACTTCAGCTTGCTTTTAATACTCAAGATTAACTGCAGTTTCTGGCCAGAGTGGCCTCTAGGATCTGGTTGGGATTCCTTTCCCAGAGACTCTTAGACTATCTTAGGGCTTTATTCTGATACACACACACACACACACACACACACACACACACACACACACTCACGAGAGAGAGAATGAGAGAGAGAGAGAGAGAGAGAGAGAGAGAGAGAGAGAGAGAGAGAGAACCTGACATAAGCTAGAGTCATCTGAGAAGAGGAACCTCAATTGAGACAAGGCCTCCAGTGGATTTCCTGGCGGTCTACTGGGACAGATAATTTCAAGTCAGAAGCACAGCAGAAGTAGGAATTTCTGATTCAGGAGTTGTTAATGGAATATGACGAGGCAGGAAGTGGTGGAAACACGATAGTTGACCCTCATAACCGCCATTCCCCTGCAACAGCAAAGGCAGACTGAGGACGACTTTCTGCACAAAATTGTGTTTTTGTCTCTAAAGAAAGATAACAAGTAACTCAGGGAAAAATGAATGCAGAGTTAGAGATGGAAATAAACCCACTTAAAACAGTGAGAAGGGATCAGGAAACAGCACAAATCATCCAGAAAAATCCTCTCAGGTCTTCAGGCTTGAACACAAAATGTTCACTAAGATCAATTACCAGAAAAGACTCTCACCTGAAGGACCAATAAGAAGAGACTGTTGAAACAAACCGACTTAGTGAACAGAGGTAAGGTTAAACTTACTGTCCTCAGAGCTGATGAGAAAAAGAAATATCCATTAAAAAAAAAACCAGCAGGAGACTGGTAGAGAAGAAGGCAAAGGTCCTGATGAAACACCTGCTTCGAGGATGCACTCACCTGGGGCGCACGGGGGTGGGAGGGGGGAGGAAGGGAAGCAATGTGAGGGTAGAGAGAGAAGCAGAAGTCTCAGGCTAAGGGAGTGGGATGTGGGATGGAACACCTAGAAGTCAAATCTTCCTGCATTTGACTTTGATCTTCAGAAGTATGGCATTTTGTTACACTAGCCCTAAATGTGCTTTAAACTTATATAGTAAAACTATCTCCATCAGGATGTCCAGAGGAAAAAAAAATCAGAAGCCTTTTAAAAGCACTAATAGATGTTGATGCTTTGGGGTTAGAGGACTCACAGAGACTCAAACTGCAATGCAGAGCTAGTATGGGTCCATGCTAGATCCTCTGTATTCATCCTATGGCTGTTTAGCTTGGAATTTTTGTGGGACTCCTAAGAATGGAAGAGGGACTGTCTCTGACTGATTTGCCTGCTCAGGAGACTCTTCTTACCGGGTTGCCCCTTTCAGCCTTGATATGAAACCATATGCCTAGTCACATTGCATCTTATGATAGATTCTGTTGCTAACACTAGGAAGGCTTGCTCTTTTCTGAAGAGAAATGGAGGAGCAGGGGATTTGGGGGGAGGGGAGATGGGAAGGGGCTAGCAGGGGGGAAGGCTGAAGTTGGAATGAATTGTATGAGAGAAGAACTTAAAAAGAGAAATTTTAAAAAATATTAAAGCTTTAAAATATTGATGATTTGGGGAAATTGATATATAAAAAATTCCAGCAGATAAGTGTACATAAAATTATGAAGCTAGAAAATAAATGGATGTTAAATAGAATAAGTGGAGAAATGAATGGATATTAAATCGAAGGTAAAGAGATGTCTATTTACATAATTCCATAGCATCCCGTCTTGTAACCTTTAAACTATTAAGGGAAAGGTAGTAACTTTAAATGAAGAAAGCCGACAGATTCCATATTATTCAGACAGCCATCTACATGGACAGGATGCTCTGGGAGAGATGTTGTTTTAGTGGTATCTCTCAAAAATTCATAATTTCCGTCCAACTTCAGAGAAACATACTATAAGTTCACAGGCAGCAGAAGTCTTTGAACTATCTGATCAGTGCTCTCAGCGAATGTCTAGCTTAAGCAGTAAAGAGGCCTCGACAGTGCAAGTTGCAGGCGGTGCAAGTATCATCCTTTCATCTGAAGTGTGTTTAAGGGGAAATCTCTGCTTTCAAATTCAAAGCGAGGAACTTTTTTCTATTACCCGATTGGTTCGTTGCTTATATGTGTGTCTCTAAACCTGTGCATGTCTGTCTGACTGCTTATCTATCATGGACCTAATACCAGGAGAATAATTCTGGAATCAGTCCTCATTTCATAGTGTGAAATTGTGAAATTGACACTAAAATTAGTTTCTTTTTACTGGATCCTCAAGATCCAGTCATTGGGAGGTAGAAGCCAGAAGGAAAGTCTGTCTGTCTATCTATCTATCTATCTATCTATCTATCTATCTATCTATCTATCTATCTATCTATCTACCCATCCTATTTGAAGAGAGTGGAAGAGTCCTAAGAACCATGATTTCACGGTTCATGGGTGTAGACATCAACTCAGCCTTCTGACATAGTTGTAGTTTACTGATAGCGTCTACTCCTAAGGGAGATAGATTCCAGTTTCCAAGACCAAAAGATCGGGGGCAAAATAACTAGATACAGAAACCTGTGAGCTTCCAGCTGAGGACCAAGTTTCTGGCCGAATCTTTGTCTTCAGAAGCATTATCATAATCCAGACCTCATACCTCCTCCAGGTCTGTGACAGCCAGGGGCACAAGAGGGACTAGTGTAAACAACTCTCCGAGGGAGGGGACCGCCAATGAAAGATGCAGGACAAAGAGAATACCTGGTTTCTGGATTTCCCAGGACTCAACTCCAAACCCCTCAAAACAAACTATTCTGCATTCTAAATATCTGTTTCTGTTCCAGCGCCCAGCTCTAGAATCCCCTGCTTCCGCCCACAGATCTTTGTCCTTCACCTATCTTACTGAGCATGCGCGGAATTTAGACCACATGCACTTCGTTGAGTCCAATCCTAGTCCGAAACCCAAAAAAGATAGGCGGTCCTCAGTGTAGGGCGGAGCTTCTGAGCCTAAAACCAGTAGGATTGGTCGGCCTCGGGGTCCACTTTCTTCAGTGGGCAGAGCCTTGCCGGGAGCCACCGCTGGGAAACAGTTCTCCTAATTTGGGAAGTGTCAGGCCGGGAGGGGCGTGGGGGTGGCCGGATTTTGTGTGCGCCTGCGCGATCGCCGGGACAGGGTGTGTTCCTGCTGCCGGATCGGATCCTGTTTTTGGCTGATCCAGTTCATCCCTCACCACTCGCGTTTCCCGTGCAGGTCCCTAAGCACGCCCACCAGGTGTTGCTCTCTGCGGTGAGTGCGCGGGGTCCAAGTCCTTCCACTAAGGACTCCACAGTGGTGCCCACTCTCCCCTAGGCAGCCCTGGAGAGTTCAGCCCGGGGCCTCTACTCCTTTCCTGCTCTAACCTGCCCCACAACCTCCAGGCTTCCACTTTTGCCATCATCCACGTGCTTTGTTGTCCTTTGCTACAGAACATGTCCAAGTCACTGAAGAAGCTGGTGGAGGAGAGCAGGGAGAAGAACCAGCCGGAAGTGGACATGAGTGACAGGGGTATCTCCAGTATGCTGGATGTCAACGGCTTGTGTAAGTTCTCTGGACAGTTGCTAAGTTTGCTATGCAACTGGTCACTTGGGAAAGCTACCATCCCACCTCTGCTTGTAAATGTCACTTGTCAGGATCTTGGCTCAGAAAGTTTGCAAACCACAGTTCTGCTGGGACTGGTAAACCTGATGAGAACCTCACTTGAGGTGTTGCTGCAATTCCTTATCAGCTGTTGAGTTGGCTTCATGGCTTTGAAGTCGATTTTTCATGTAGTGTCCCAAGTAGCCATTTTTTGTTTTTACTTTGGAAGTCACTTTTTACTCTATGAATCACGAGCCGGCAGTACTACAAAGTTACACGATTAGTAAGAATTCTTGTGCCAGGAGTATTTTCAACATTTCTCCATCGTTACATATTCCTGGGTCATTCTCCCAGGCTTTACTCGAGCTTGTGCTCCAAGCTCAGCATCCAGCACTAGCTGGATGGCCCATTCAATCAGGTTGTTGCTTTCAGCCGTGAACTAATATGACTCTTATTTTATTGTGTTTTCTCATCCGTTAAACCAGACAGGAAACTCAGTTCAAGTGGGAATGATCATAGACTTCATTTCCTGTGCCCGCCTCACAGGCATCTTCTCTTCTCCACATCCAGACAGTTGCCACCACGTGTGAATGTTGGATCGCTATTGCCATATTTTGTTTTGAGAATTCCAGTGTTCAAGTTTTCATCATCTTTAAATGCTGGAAACTAATTCTGGTCTTTGAAACCACTTTCTAAGTAAAGTACAACACTTCTGTAAGTTGCCTGTGACTTCGTGTAGATCCTCTGAGGATTTAACTATTGACAGTGTACTCCCACGTTCCTCGGTGGGATATACAAGGTCTGACTCGGATCATAAGCAGATCTCTTCCACGCATGCACGTCCAAGCAATATTGAGTAAACTCCACTGAGTGACCCTGAGCAGTCAGATCTTTGCCTTGCAAGTCCATTGCCTCCCTTTCCCTTTCCACCTGTAGTCCCATAACTTAATTGCCAAGAGAGGCTCAGGCATCATAGCCTCTGAAAAGCCTTTCTACCTTCCTCTGTGAACCCATCATCTTCAAGGCACAGATTACATAGCCTTTAATAATTTATTTTCAATCCAGTAGTCTCTCTTCCTCATTCAGATACCAGGAGAACCAAAACTGTGCAGTATTCGTGCTTGTGTTCTTGAGAATGGTGTCTGGAACACAGCAGGTACTCCAAAATGTTTGATGAATGAAGCAAAGAGTGATGGGTAAAGTCTGAGTTCATGAGTGCCAGAGTAGGGTGTAACAGCAGAACATCAGCTAGAGGGGAGCTGTCCAGAGCCCCTAAAGTCAGTGGCTAGCTTCCCAGGCACGAAGAGTATTGTCTGCTCTTGGGGCACAGGCTGGAATAGATGTTGGTACACTAAGGCAGAAGTGGAATGCAGACACCTTGCATTTGGTGGCCATCACAAAGAGTCCTGCTTCGACACAGGTTTCATACTCTTCACATCTTGACGACTTTTTGACTTGAGTGACATGTGTTGATCTCTTGCAGTAAGAATGGGTTTGTGGTGATTTTTGACACTGAAATGTCTGCCGAGGATCTAGACACACTCCCATTGCTTTGGCTTTTTTTCAGGTTCCACTGCTGTAGAGGAAGGAAAGGATAAGCAGAGAGCAGGGGACCTGGTGTGTCTGTGCCCCCTACACCCCCTAGTTCTCTGCCTGCTGCATTCTTCTTTATGGGCTGAAGCATGAGCCCACATTGGGCAGAGCCATTTGTATCATTTTGGAAGATGAAGATGCATGTAATATTAACAAATGGCAAGGGTGGCTCCATTATCTGTTTGAAGCCTTGGCTCTTACTAGAGGAGAAAAGATAGCCACTTGCTTCCTGAAAGAAAAAAAAATGCTTCTGGTCTAATACTGGGGGAGAAAAAGCAAGGTCATTTCTCTAATTGCCCAAACCAGAAGCCAAGAGACAACATTGGTACTACTTGGAAAGATCAGTGGAAATTTGAAAATCTTACCTGCTCTGGGTGTTGGCTTAAGGAAGGGCTGGATGTATTGACTCCCTGCCATCAGGACTCCTAAGAATCTAGAAGATTCTAGAATGTTCTCTGGAAGCCTGTCCCTAAAGTGGCTTTATCAGCCATTCACTGGGCTGGAGCTCAGTGGTCAAGCATTTGTGCAGAATGTATGCAGTTCTGGGGTTTGACTTAAACACCATACAAATAAATTTAAAACAGCAATCAGTCGGCATCCAGTGTGGGTGTTATATGTCAGGGTTACAGAGTATTGTGTAAGAATTCTCGGCTTTGTTTTGTTTTTGCTGAGATTTACCTGCAGCTGTGACATTTAGTATGTAAGCATCCTGATTAAACACAGGAAACCATTAACTTACATGCAGAGAGAATGACTATTTCTTGTACTCTAAGCTTTCCTATTTTTGCATGTACTAATTTAACTTCTTAAAAATAATGTAATGATTTAGCTTTGAGGATAAGGAGGAAGGATTTGCATTTCTTTGAAGCATTTGAAACGCCAGCATTTCTGCTTGGCAGGCTGGGCTGTACGAGCACAACAAAGCGTTTCCATAGATGTGGTGAATTACCTTCTCTTTTGGTGAGACTGGGTCTCATGTAGGCCAGGATGGCCTTGAACTCATTTTGTAACTGAGGAGGATCCACCTGTCTCTGTCTCTTTAGTGAGGATTATAGGTGTATACCACCACAGGATACCAGTTAAACCTTGGTTGTCCTGTTGAGAATACAGTTATATTCTGGGCCATCTTTGGGGCAAGTATCAGTGAGACTCAGGAGGAATGAGTGCATTTTAGCTATAGTCTATTCAAATCTTCTTTATTTTCCCTTCTGTAAGTTGGTGCCGATGCCCAGCTTTGGGTTTGGAATGTGCAGGAACCATTTCTCTTTGCTCTTCTGCTGAGCCTTTGCCCATTAATACTGTTGAGGGAATTGAGGACCTATCTGTCTGTTTTATTCTTGGGGTACCACCTCTAGGAGGCATCCCAAGTCTCCTGAGTTTAAACCCAACATGCCTCCAGCTTGGCCAGCCTGTCTCTCCTGTGCCCCTGTCATTGGTAGTGTACTGGGAGAGAGTTTCTGGAACGAAGAATATCACTGCTTTTACTTAAGAAATGCTTATTTGAAAAAAAAATTATACAATATATTCTGATTGTGCTTTCCCCTTCTTGTGTCTGTCTCACCAATCCTCTCTACCCACCCAACTCCACACCCTTTCTTTCTCTCTTTAAAAAACAAACATACAAAAAACCCCCAAACAAACGCTGAAAGTTTTGTACAACAGTCCCCAGCACACACACACACACACACACACACACACACACACTACCAGAAAACAAAATATGCAAGCCAAAGACGAACAAGACAAAAAATATCCAAACTAAGCAATAAGAGACAAAAAAAAAAATCTACAAAAATACCATTGAGTTTGTTGTTTTGGCCAGATACTCTTGGACATGCTACCTACTCTGAAGTATGGCTAATGTGCCCAGTGAGAAAACATTGGAGAAAAATCATTTTTTTTTTGCAAGCACATGCATGTTTTATATAGCGTCTTGCTCAGGACTGGGGCTCTTATCTGGCTTGAACCTGGGCTGACCAAGTGGCACACTGCCACACTGTCTGTGAGTTCATATGTGCATCAATCCTGCTGTGCCTGGCGGACAGTTTTCTTGGACTCCTCCATTCCCTCTGGCTCTTAAAATCATTCTGCCTCCTCTTTGCATAGCTCCCTGATCCCCGAAGGCAGAAGCTGGATGAAGGCATCTTCACAACTGAGTACCATAAAATCTCTCACTGTCTGTATTCTGTCCAGTTGTGGGTCTCTGTATCAGTTCCCATCTTCTGCAAGAAGAAGTTTCTCTGAGGACGGCTAGGCAAGGAACTGATCGATGAGTAAAGCAGAGTACCGTTAGGAACCATTTTACTGTGTATTCTTTTGAAGAACACTGGTATTCGGTTTTGCCCTGGGTCCATGCCTTGTCTACTCTCAGGCTCTTGGCCATCCAATGGTCAGACATGTTTTCCATCTCATGGGCCTTAAGCACAGTTATTTGTGCTACTGTGATGCCAGCATATTTCTTAGGCAGGTCACTGTTGTTTGTAGCATTGCAGCTTGATTGATGATGCCTTTCTCCTCTGGTAGCATAAAGAGTACATCCCAGTACTGTGAACGCTGTTCAGTAGGGCCACAGGCTCTGCTATGGCAGCAGCATGCCTTCGCCATGTTCAGTCAGAGAAGCGGGTGTTCTCTTCAGCAACAGGGCCTTACTGTCAGTTTGTGGAGAGCAACCAATAACTTGAGATATTCGTGGGTTTACATGGTGGGAGGGCCCTTTGCCGTTCCTGGCACTGGAAGTTTGACCTGGTGGCATAAGGTTTTTAGTTGGGGCACTGTCTTCCACATTCTTTGGTGATTTGATGTGTCTCTCTTTCATACAAGTATATATTTTTGTGGTATAATGACCCTTGGTGTTAGTGACCTGGAATTCCTTCCCCCTCCTCTCTTCCAGCTCCCTTCTCATTAAATCTTCCCACTCTAGTCCCTCCTTCCCCCATTTCTCTTTAATATATTCTATTTCTCTTTCTTGGGAGATCCTCTCCTCCCTACTAGTCCCTTACCACGCCCCTAACCACGCCCCCTAACCACTGTGGCTATATGGATTACGGCACACATCTTGATAGCTTAAAAGCAAACAGCTACATACAAGAGAAAACTTAGAATATTTGTCTTTTAGTTTGGGGTTACCTCATTCAGGAATTTTTTTCTCCTAGCCCAATTTATTCAATGGAGAATACCATAATTCCCTTTTGAAGACCAGCTGAATAGTATTCCATTGTGTAAATGACCCCTATTTTCATTACTTCTCAGTTGATGGGCATCTAGGCTATTTCTGGCTATGATGTATTCGAAGCATTGGACATGGATGAGCAAGTGTCTCTGTAGCAGCACACAGCATCTGTTGGGTAAATGCCCAAGAGTGGTGTAGC